TGCGATGAATGAAGATCAAGTGATAAGCTTGCTGCAATCGCTGATGAGTACTATGCGTGTCCTACTGAGTAATATAAAAACTTCGGCTGCGCAGACCGCACTGCATGTGCTGGACACCCTGAGTCTGGTGCTTGCAGCTCTAAGGTAAAACCATGGCCAGCGAGGCACAGTGGTTTCGAGCGGAAGTCAAGAATGCATCTGTGTTTCAGTGGAACGCCAGAGGTCTGAAGTCACGCATGTCTGACTTTAGACAGTTTGTATTTGTGAACCGCTTTCCCATTATCGTGATTTGTGAACCCAACCTGTGTGCTTCAATCAAGCTGTCAGGATACGAGTGCTTTATGTCTTACACTCACAGAGACTGCAGCAAAGTTATTGTATTCATGCGCAATGACCTCACTTAAGTTCACCACAGAGTCTCTACTGATGAAGGGAATCAGTATGTGTGCCTTACCGTGAAGAAAGATAAGGTTGCTTTCACGATTATCGGAGCTTACTTATCTCCATCAAGCCGCCTTGACTGCGAGCGCTTACGCGGTATTCTCACATCGACTTCAAGGCCATGCGTGATCACTGGCGACTTCAATGCCCACCATTTTCTATGGGGAAGCTCCAGGGACCAGTCTAGAGGAAGAAAATTGGTGTCCTTAGCCTCGGAGTACGAACTCTGCGTTTGTAACGCTGGAAGCTCTACATATTTACGCGGATCAGCCTATAGCAGCTGCCTGGACCTTACATTGGTTTCTCGCTCACTTACCAGGAAAGTGCACTGGTTGTCGGATCTGGAAACGTGGGGCAGCGACCATATACCAACTTACCTGTGTATAGAAGGTTTCACCAGCTCCAAGTCCTTAATAGGCCTCAAGTACACCGATTGGCCGAAATTCAAAATGTTAATGGAAGACTGCTGTACCGACGGCTCATCAGATAACCTAGAGGACTCGATAAAGGATGTCCTGCAGAATACCACGCATACACATTTGACTAGTCACAAGCGCACCGATTTCGACATCAAGCTTGAGAAACTTCGCGCAATACGTCGTCGTGCAGAACGAAGGTACCGACGGACAAAGTGCATGGATGATTTGAGGCTGGCTAGACGCATTCAAAAGAAAATGCAGCGGCACATAAATAAACTGGCTAGGCGACGTCGGACATCCTTTTGTGAGTCGTTGGATCCACGAAAGCCCCTATCACTGATATGGCGAACTGTCCGGGGTCTTAGCACAATCTTGGGTCAGCGACACCCGTTTACATCTCTGGCACTTCACCTTCGATGCAGAGAGATTGACGTCGCAGAATCTTTCTGTAGAAGAATTGTCGGTGATTCCAATTTCACAGTATCAAGAACGGGAACATTTGATAACCCACCGCCATCACGTGATCCCCGTGTGGAATGCCAGTTTTCCATGGATGAGCTAGAGGCGGCACTGGCTCTGTGCAGACGTTCTTCAGCACCCGGTCGTGACGGCATTACCTATCGTGCCCTTTGTAATCTTGAAGACGAAGCTCGGAAGGCACTCTTACGCCTATACAATGACTCCTGGCAGACTGGTACGGATCCCCAGGCATGGAAGTCAAGTCGCCTCATTCCACTTTTAAAGGCTGGTAAATATCCTTTGGATATTGCCTCATACCGTCCTATCCCACTTGCTAGTTGTGTGGAAAAAACGATGAAACGAATGATTCTAACACAAATGGAGTGGTATTTAGAGCACTACGAAATCTATCCAGTATCCATGACCGGTTTCAGGCGTGGCCATTCGTCAATCGACAAGGTTGTTGATCTGGTGACATATGTTCAACACCAGAAAGCCTGTAAGAGACTGTGCACCGTCCTGTTTCTAGACGTAAAGGGGGCTTACGACAATGTTACCCATGAAGCCATTCTTAGTGCTTTGGAAACAGTAGGTCTTGGTGGCATGATATATATGTGGGTGTACAGCTACTTACAGCTCAGATCATTTTACGTGATGACAGCGAATGGCCCGACACCTGATTATTACAGCAGCCGAGGAGTTCTTCAGGGAGGAGTGCTAAGCCCTACCCTTTTCAACCTAACTCTCATTGGTCTAGTCGAGCAGCTACCTAGCACTGTAGAACTCTCTGTCTATGCTGATGACATCTGCATTTGGACATCAGGTGTGACAAGGCCTTAGCTTCGCGCCCGCCTTCAGAAGGCTGCTACAACGACGTCACGCTATCTTCGTAAACAAGGCCTCGAGGTATCCTGCGGAAAATGTGCAGTGGTAGCGTTCACGCGGAAACCAATGTCTGCTTACAGTATATCAATTAATGAAGAATACATATCGTTCAGCAGAAGCCACAGGTTCTTGGGAGTCATAATAGATAGAAACCTGTCGTGGACTCCACACGTGAACTATGTGAAGAAGCGGCTGATCGCAACATGCCAGATGTTCAAATTCCTTGCAGGAAAGAATTGAGGAGTGCCCATACCATCCATGCTACAACTGTACAGAGTGCTGTTTATCGAATTCTTACGGTACAGCTTACCTGCAATATCTAACACCGGCAAGACCAACCTGCACGCAATTTAGAGCATTCAAGCCCAAGCAATTAAGATATGCCTTGGAGTACCCCGCAGTGCTTCAACGGCTGAAACCGTTGCCATCGCTCAAGATCACTCGATAAATACGCATATTATTACCGAGCCAATGCGCATGCACCTCAGGCATTATGCCAGGACCCCTTCCCACGACCTGGCGAGCTTAGCTGCTGAAAGGCCCTACACGACATACGGCACTATTGTCTCCAAGCATCGTTCATCGTTTGCTGAGACATACGCACCTGCATCAAAGCCACTGCTTCCTCCTTGGAGCTTGAGCCGGCCGCGAGTTCACTTAATGATTCCAGGAATGAGGAGAAAATCGGACTTACTGACACATCCCCTGAAGCAAGTGAGTCTATTCCTACTGGAAGAAAACTACAGTAACCACGTGCACATTTACAGGGATGGCTCTACTACGCCGTCTAGTTCAGGTGGAGCAGTGGTTATACCATCACAAAGGGTAACTCGGTGTTTTAAGACTTCACATGTGACAACTTCAACGACGGCAGAACTCGAGGCTCTGCGCAATTCAATGGAACACATCAATTCAGAAGAAAAACCAGGTAAATGGGCTGTGTTTTCTGACTGAAAACCAGCGTTACAGTGCCTGATATCAGTTCTCCGACGCGGATGCCACGACCAGTTGACCTACAAAACCGTGAAACTCCACCACCTGTTAATACAAAAAGGCCATGACATCGTCTTTCAGTGGTTACCTGGGCATAGTGGTATAGGCAGCAATGATTCTGCAGATTATGCTGCTCGCACGTCACATAAAGAAGCGAACAGTGTTCCGATACCGCTTTCAAGAGCAGATGCGGTGAGGCAGATTCGTCAACTGGCCTGCAGTCTCACACTGACTGAGTGGAACACACCAAGCATACGACGTACACGACTCCACGAGCTCGACCCTTCACTACAACTCCGGCCTCCATCCGGCCTACATCGACGTGAAGCTTCCCTCCTGTATCGCCTTTGGCTGGGAGTTGCTTTCACGAAAGCTTATACCACGTTAATCAGAATTACTGGCAGTGCGGCGTGCGATGTTTGCGGCACCGACGAAAATATCGAACACCTGCTGTGTCATTGTCCTCAATTTGCCTCAGATAGACAAGTATTTGCCAACGCAATGCGGCGACTGGATGATCGGCCTCTTTCCGTGCAGGTGCTATTACAGCAACGTACACATGCCTCGACAGCCCACAAGGCATTAAAAGCCCTGCTGTGTTTCCTAAGAAAGACAGGCTTGTGTGAACGCCTCTGACATGCGGTAGAGTTCCACACGCTGCAGTGAAATTACTGTCAGTCTCTCCCCCACTCCATCTCTTCCCTCTCTTCCCTTTTTTCCATCTCTTCCCTCTTTTTCGTCTTTGTTGTCCCCTTCCTTCATCCCCCTGTGAAGGGTAGCCAACCGGATGTCTTTCTGGTTAACCTCCCTGCCTTCTCCCTTTTTGTTGCTTCCTCCCTTCTTCCTCGAAAATATATCTTATATTTCCATAAGGTATGATATGTAGTCCTTTTTCAATTGCTATTAAGCGATTGTATTGTTGTAGTTGTGTTTTCTCATGTTTTATTGCTTCATTATTTTCCTATAGCTGTTTTCTAACACTGTTCTGTTAATAATACAATGTCTTGCCATTTACCCTTGTATTTTTGCAATGTTTTTTATTGTGTGTCCCCCCATTTTCTTCGGACTATGGGCCCAAGTCTATAAAATGCTCCCTTCAATATATGTATCGCTACTTCGTTACTAATGAACATCCAACTGTGGGTGCTGCGGTAAGTGTGCTGCGGGTGCGGGGAGTGACTTCAGCACGCACCTGCGAGGCAAGCGTGTGAGGGGAGCTTGGCATCAAGACGTAGCTGCGGCGAGACGTAGTTGGCACCACTCCAACTTTTTACGGCGAGGAGAACGCCTTGGGGCAGCGTTTATAGATACCTTAAACGTTGCGTTGCGGCGTGTTCGTAGAGCGCACATGAGTATGGCGTTACACACGTGAGTCAAAGAGCTGTTTCGCATAAAGAAGTCAAGCGAGCGTATTCTCTTGATTCAATGAAAATCAAAAATAGGTTTTAGCAGACGATCGCACGAGAACACTTCTTATCTTTAGATTTCAGTCGGGGTGCTGCCTTCGTCAGGGATTGATTTGTGGGGTTTAACGTCCCAAAACCACCATATGATTATGAGAGACGCCGTAGTAGAGGGCTCCGGAAATTTTGACCACCTGGGGTTCTTTAACGTGACCCAAATCTGAGCACACGGGCCTACAACAATTCCGCCTCTATCGGGAATGCAGCCGCCACAGCCGGGATTTGATTCCACGACCTGCAGGACAGCAGCCGGGTCCTTAGCCACTTGACCACCGTGGCGGGGCTCTTCATCAGGAAATACAATATATACCAAGTCAATTCATTTGAACCACACAAAGCATTCCAGCACGTCTCATTTATTTATAGCTAAATTAATCTTTCCAGCAGCCTATCAGGAGGTCGTAAGGTTTACAAACAGTTGAGTCGCATGCGCCTAATTCGCACGTGTAATTGACTCCAGAATGCATGTACGTCACAGCTTCATGAACAACAGTCTGCAAAGAGAAAAAAATGGAGAGGTGTTGATGAAAATTAACTCATAGGAGGCTTCAAGAACATCTTGCTGTATCTGCGCAGACTGTAATCACATCACACATTCTTGGTGGAGCAGGATTTCGAAATATCAATTGCGCGTTTGAAGTCCTACTGAATTGAATCTTTATTGACGTCCTTGCCGAAAGCGCAGGTTATTTAGTAATTTTTTACCTAAAGTTTGTACTACTTTTAGGTAATGAGTATCACCGTCTCTCAGCCGCACCAAACAGATGAAGTGGAGTAGAGGAGAAGAGCTAAAACAAGAGAACTGATTATAGCTTTGCAGTGCGGTTAAAGCACAAGCCGAGAAATGTAAATTCATGGCAAGGGGTGCCAATGTTCAGTGAGGTTGACCAGGAGCAAGGTTATTGAGAATACGAAAGAGTACAGAAGTGGGTAAGGTGAAGCAAAGCACAGTCATGTTTGGTACCGCAACGTGACGTTTACATATCATCAATGCAGATGCGTGATCTTCATCCTTTGTAGCGCCCACTCTTTTACCTCCACGCTTAAAACTGTCCATCTAGCTTGCGCACGTTTCATCATGCTACTACTTTCTTTTTCAGAATCCCTTAACTTGACGTATTGATAAGAAATGTCCCATACGTTCTGCGCCCCACTTGGAAGGCTATGCTATGCCAAGCTGTCATATTCTAGTCGCCTACCAAAAGACGCGCCTGTCGTCATTACCACAGAGAATGGTGGGTCAATGTTCGCCAATAGAATGCTTGCCTCCCTGACCAATATAGTGTGTCTACGTCACTAGTCAAAACATTGCATTGCTTATGTAGAAAGGTCGAGACGCCTTATGTCCAAGTCGCGCCTCAGAAGGTGGAGCACGTTTACCTTACGAGTGTTTCCAGTCGACGTTGCTGCAGCCAGCGAGTAAGCCGGCGATTGGTTTATCTCCGGAGTTCATTGTTCTTTTAACCATGGTGGCAACTAAGAAGACTAAGGCTAGCTCACGCAGAACAACGACACCGACAGTCCGGCACCAGTTGAGCCTCCACCGTGACTCACCATGAGTGGACATTTAAGAATTGCTTGACAAGTTCAAAAAGGCAGCCTGCTGGAACGACTCGCATGATGGCACTAAGTTTTTACAAGTCTTTCTTATACATTTGAATATTTTATATTCTGTGGTTTGAAAACTGTGAAGCATGTGCTGAAACCGCGAATAAAAAGTAATGCTTAGCACCTGTCGCATCGGAGCGCCCTTGAATCTTTCCCCTATAAAAAAGGACAGGAAAACATTCAGTTACTGGAAATGTGTACAGAACAGCGTGACAAATTTGCCATGATATACTCAGAATATATGCGTGGACATTATTGGTTGTTTTGCTCGCCATCGTCTGAACTTAGCAGACACATTTTTGTTGCGTTTTTTATATTCCAAATAAATGACGTTTTGCTGTCAAGATCGGCGCAGATTTTTTTTGCACTACCTGCTGGTTTGTACATCATCTCTTGTTTGCGGCGGGTGCAATCTGAGAAGTTGTTTTCTGAGCCTATCGGTGATCACTGCCTTCTTTCCGGCTTCTCTCCGGTTATCATAGCTGCTTGTATAAGCAACGACGAAGTTTCGTGCTTTTGTGGGCTCTCCAGTGCCATCCATGCTCCCAAAAGATGTGTCGGCAGCAGCTATATTTTCACGGCGTCGCGACATTCACGAACAAAGCAGACTTCAGATTGAAAATGAAACTGTTTATTCGGGGCGAACTTGTGGCCAGGAAAAAGAAAGTCAGATTACAGTAGGACCCTAGAACTAGTAGCGACGAGCAGAGCGTCGGCCGTTGATCAACTGACAAGTGGCGAAGCGCGTCGGCGTTTATAAACGTGGAATCTAACGTTCTAGCATTATCGCTAGCAGTGGCGTAGGCTCCAGAGTAATCCGTGGTGCAATTATATGCAAACACAAAATCCAGACGGAGGCGGTAGGTTCCATTGAGTCGCACGTGATTGGCCCATTCAAGCCGTGACGAATGCTGTGACGCTCTGTGTGACGTAGGCTGAGGTGTCACTGGAGTGGTTTTTTTCGGTTTTCAGATGAAGGCGGAGGAACAGTTGGAGAAAACATTCGAAAGAAACCGGATGGATTCAAATGGCTGCTAGGTGGCATGGATTGGATTGAAATGTAAGGACTTCGCGACTTTTCAGCATCTGGGCACTTAGACAACATGGCGGTTCCCATTGCCACGGTTTTTCGTCTCACCTCTGCGGCAGCTGCAGCCGGGAGAGAAGACGAAGCGAGGTTAAAGGTGCATTTGAAAAGTTCACTGAAGAAGTGTTCTGGCAATGTTCTCGTATGTACGAACGAAAAGTGCGTAGCTTGTGCGACGAATGTGTCCCTATTATCGTATGCCATCGAGCCAGTGGCCTTTCCACGGAGAGGAAAGTGTTGTGTGCGCTAAAATTTTTCGCCACCGGCTGCTTCTAGAGAAGCGTTGGTCGAGAGGAGCACATCGGCAAGTCTCAGCCGGCCGTGAGCAACACTGTCCATGAGGTGACACAGGCCGTCATCACCATGGCTTCTGGGAAAAATCTGGCGGATTTCCCACTGACAACAGCTGCTACGGATGAGGCAAAGTCGGAGTTTAGGGTACGCGGTTGCATCCCATGCGCGCTGGCTTGTGTCGATGGCACGTAGATCACCATTCGCAAGCAGGAGGGATTCAGACTGGCCGACACGGTGAGCTTCATGTCCAGAAAGGGCTATTATGCTCTGAACGTCATTGTTGTAAGTACCATTAGGATCCTTTCTTACTCGCCCATCGGAGCAATTGTTCAATTGAGACGCCAAAGCTTGAAAAAGTAATAATGCAACGAATGAAAAGAACCTGAAGGGAACTGTGTGCGAGCTTGTTGGTGGCTAGCAAGGCCTCGGTAATAATAAGTGCCATGTGATTTGTGCGTTAGCCAGTTGCCGATTTTCTACTGGCGTAGATGCACAATTGAGTTGTGCATTTTCGAGGTAATCGGTAATATGGGCAGCAGACGTAGCAGAAATATATACACAACAGGAAAGTATTTTCAACACGAAAGTGCTTACAATCACAACTATGGAGCTGGCTTGGGAATATACGAGTGTTCTTTCCCAAGAGCAACTCGTAGGTTTTCACTTATCGATCATTCAGTGGAAGTCGTAGCCATGTGTACAGCAGAGGAGGGGTCATTGTCCCCCCTCCTCTCTCCTAAGTGTGCTACACCCTGTGTTTCCTTCTAAGTGAAGTTTCTTGTACCAATGACTCTACTAGTACGCGTTGTTTCCGGCGTATGCGTAGAAAAAGGGGATTTCTTTTGAGTATAAATGCAAGTACTATTTTATATCGCTCCTCATTGCAGGTGTGCAACGCATGGCTGCGCATCCTTGTCATGGGCCCTTGATTATGCTGCAGTGATCTGGGATCCACTTACTCAAACTAACATTCATAAAGTAGAAAAAGTGCAAAAGAGCCGTTCGCTTCATATATAACAGTTATGGACGAACTTCGGTAAGGTGAACTGTTAGTAAGAGCTAACTTACTTTCACTTTCAGAAATAAACCGCATATCCCGATTAAAATATTTATATCAAATAATTAATCGGCATTACGAGATAGATATTGGAAAAATTATTTCATTTTCTTCAGGTTACGCCACCAGACAATGCCATGATTGTACAATAACTCCCTGTCGTACCCGCAATAATTGCTTCAAATATTTTGTTTTCCCAGAACTGTGCAGGATTGGAACAGTTTAAATAATTTTACTTGTGTGCTAGCTCTGTTTTTTTTTCTTAAAATGAGAGTGATGTGTCATCGGTAAAATTTTGTTACGTTTGTTTACGTTATAAAACGCAAGTGATAGTTATTTATTTGCTTCGTTTATATGGCTGCCTACTATGTGAAATGTGATAGGCTGTTCTATCTGTTTTCCTGGTGTTATATGCTGAAGTTTACGTATTTTGTACCCACCTGCTAAATTCCCTCCAGAGGATTGCATTACCAATAAATAAAATAAATAAAAATAATACAACAAATACATTGCTCCAGTTCGTTAACGTGCATGGAACAGCTTGAGGCGCGTGACATGAATGACTTGAGGTCAGGATATGCGCCGTAGAATGTTGGTGATGCCCTCGGGGACAACCTCGTAATCGAGTGCGCCGAGACGTCAAACCACCCTGTACGGTCCGAAGTATCGCCGCAGAAGCTTTTCACTGATCCACGTCGGCATATCGGCGTCCACGCCCAAACAAGTTCCCCGGGATGGTATTTTGCGAAAAGTCGTCGAAGATTTTAACGGCGGCTTTCGGTCGTCTGTTTGTTCTTGATACGGATACAGGCGAGTTGTCAGGCTTCTTCGGCAAGCTGAAGGTACTCACTCACATCGAGGTTTTTTTCGTCGGTGACATGGGGTAACATAGCTTCGTGCGTCGTTGCCGGGCTCCTTTCGTAGACCAATATGTATAGAGATATCTGCGTCGTCTCCTGCACCGCCATTTTGAATGTGAAGGTCACGTATGGAAGAATGGCGCCCCACGTCTTGTGTTTGACATCGACGTACAGTGAAAATTTTTATTAAAGGGAAGGCGGGAGCGCGTGGCCTGTGCGCTCCGGCAGCTGCTGACAGTGCGTTCAAGCGGAAGCGAGAGCAACCACAGACATTTTTCCCGTCATTTCGCGATGAGCAAAAGAACCATTTGTTGCTGATATGAAACCCATAGCAAGATTGCAAACTTCTTCCCCTTCAAGGCGATCACCGGCTTTCGCGGAATCACCTTGAAGAAGAGGGAGTTGCCATCTTGCCACTGGTTCTATATCATCAATGAGTGCTTGCTTTGCTGGCCACGAGATAAGAGATAAGAGACTGTGGTTGCTCTCTCTCCCGCTTGAACGTGCTGACCGCAGCGCCAGAGCGCACAGGCCATGCGCTCACGTGTTTCCTTTCATGAAAAGTGATGCTGTACATTGCCAGCATGTCGGCGATAGTCTTGTTTAGTTGCTCGGTGAGGCTGTTGGTCTGTTGGTGGTACGCTGTCGTCTAGCGGTTGCTTGCCTGGTTGTATTTTAAGATCGCTTGAAATAGGTCAGTAGTAAATGCCGTTCTTCTGTCGTAGATGAGGACCTCCGGGGCGCCATGACTTAGGACGATGTTTTCAACGAAAAACTTAGTTACCTCAATTGCACTGTTTTTGGGCTGGGCTTTTGTCTTGGGCGTAGCTTGTGAGGTCGGCGGTAGCTACCACGATCCACTTGTTTCCAAAAGCCGATGTCGGAAATGGCCCCTATAGGTCCATGCCGATTTGCTGGAACGGTCGGTGAGGTGGTTGAATGGGCTACAGAAATCCCACTCAGTTTATGTCGATGGTGTCTTGCGTCGCTGGCAATCCCGTCACGTCCTCGCTTAACGAGTGACGTCGGCAGTAAGACGCGGTCAGTAGTACCTTTTTTATCCTCAAGAGCGTGCGTGAAATACAGAAGTGGCCTGCTGTCGGATTTTTGGGCAGGGCCAGCAGGAGTTCTGGTAGCAGAGCTGAAAGCACCACAAGAAGATACTTGGCTTGAAGTGGTGAGAAGATTTTCTTTTTGAGAAAACCGTTTCGCAGAAAGAGTGACGCAAGTGCGCGCATGATTAACTTCAAAACTGCGGCGGTCCTGCTTTTGAGGTGTTAGTGCTCTATGTCCCGGGTCGGCCCGCTGTCGTTCAGCGAAGTCGTCGGCAGTTATTGTTCCCAAGAAGTAGTCGTCATCCGGGTCGTCGGGTTGTGGTGGGTCGAGAGGCGCTTGAGAGAGGCAGTCGGCATCGGAGTGTTTCTCGCAGAACTTGTAAATGATGGTAATATCATAATTGTGAAGTCTCAGGCTTCATCTTGCATGCCGACCTGAAGGGTACTCCAAGTTAGCTAGCCAACACAAGGCGTGGTGGTCGTTCACAACTTTGAAAGGCCTGCGCAGAGGGAGGGGCTAAACTTCGACGTAGCCCAGGTTACGGCAAGGCACTTCATTTTTGTTGTGAAATAATTAGCTTCTGCTTTGAATAGCGATCGGAATAACCTTTTCTAGTTTTTCAGCCCTCTGCACAAGAACAGTGCTGAGACCTACGCTGCTTGCGTCAGCATGTATTAGATGCGGAGCATCTTATACTCGCGCCTTGTAGTGCGCCGTCCGCGCCGTCCGCACCTCTTCTCGAACATTCGACAGCTGACGCGCGCGCATGCGCCGTCGCGCCGTCGCCCACTCTTCCACCATC